GAAAGAAAGAAAGAAAGAAAGAAGCCCAAAATGAAGCAACAGTGAGAAAAATGAAAAGGCCCTCATTCAACTAATTGAACTCTGCCGAGATGCGAGCAAGCGCATGGTGACTAGGAAAGGTGTACCTTAAGTATATCCCCTAAGGGTCCCCAGGGTCTTGTAGGTTGGGGAACCCTTCACTCGGTTCTTTTAAGTGTTCTGACATTTCGTAAAACAACTTAAATCTTACCAGGACGTCTGAAGATTGAGAACGCATAGATCCTTGATTATACAAATAAACCATAAAACGATCTGCTAAAAAATATCTAAGTACAGAAGAGAGAGAGAGAGATGTCCGAGTTACTCTTTTAGAGACATCAGCAAGCTGCGCCCCTCCCCAGCCCAGATTTCTGTAAGTAAAACTTTATTGGAGCACATCCACGCACGGTAACCTGAATGTGCTCTGTGCTGGTGTACTCTAGCTGCTCCAGCAGAGGGAAGTAGTTTGGGCAGAGGCTAGGGGGCCTTCAAACCTGGAAGGTTCACTCTCCGGAGCTTTGGAGAAAAAGCCAACTTTTGCCATAAAGGCAGCATTTCCTTTGATATACATTACACTTTATGCAAAATAAATACACATTTACTCAAAACAATCTCTTCAATTTGATGGATTCCTTTCATTTTTCAAAATATTTACCTTTTTAAGGGTATGTATGTGCCTGCATGGATTTAAGCAGCAGTGTGCATAGGTTTCCATAGATGGCACCCTAGCTCTCAGAGCTGGAGTTAACGACTGGATATGAGCCGTTTGAGTTCTGAGAAACGAGCCCAGGTCCTTCACAAGGACTGTGAGCATTCTGAACCACTGAGCCATCTCTCCATCCCACCAGGATCCTTTTAAGAAAGGAAGGAGCTGCAAGAGGGTAAAGCCTTTTTGCTGTTTACAAGATATAAACTGGACGGAGGATTATGATAATTTTCTGCCTCTTTATTTATGTATATTTGATATATATCAAATATATATTATATAAATATGTTATAGCTTATAACATGTGTCAATCTAATACATATGACATATTTATATCTAATATGACATTATTTGTATATAATATGTAATATATTATTAAATTTATTTTATTTATAATTGTATAATATATATCACATTTTATAATTATATATTATATTTATAATTACACACTTATATTTATTTATAATATGTGTTTGTAATTACATTGCATATAATTATAAACATAAAATATATGCTATTTATGATACTATAGTATATATTTATTATATATTATTATAGAATATATGATGGGGGTGGTCTGGTACCATCTATGTTGATTATTTTGATCCCTGAGGTCTGCTAGCTGTCTTTTACAAGCAGACACGTATCCAAAATGACATTTGTAATCCTCGCCTCCAAATTATCCCTGACTGGCTGAATAAATGCCCACACACCTGGGCACTACAGAAGTGAGGGAAGTGGAGCCAAAGTCTGTGGGCTTGGAGGACAGAAGGATTATGGGAACAGACACACAGGCACAAGGGAGGAGGAGAAGGAAGCAGGACTGGCGTGGGTTAGCAAAGAACCACAAGGCCAGGGAGAGTTTACTCTGAGGGTCAGCATGGCCGCAGAGAAGCAGCCCGGAAGGAAAGAGTGTGCAAGTGTTTACATTATTTCGGATGGGAAGCAGCCCAGATAGGAATGGTTAGAGCAAACGGCATGGGGCGTGGGACAGGGAGATAACGAGGTAGTTCAGGGAGTTGATATCTGCCCAGTGAAATGAGGCTTACTAAAAATATAACAGGTGTCTATGTCCTTTCTTGATTGACAGTGGGATAAATAATAACACTGTAATAATTCTAGGTTATTAATAGTACACCTTAATAATCTTTTTATTATATATAATATGTACCTACATTATATATTATGCCATTCATATATTATATACCTATATTATATATAATGTAATAATTATATTATATGTAATATATAACTATATTATAATTAAAACACTACACAAAATAAAATATATCACAACATAGTATATACTAGACATAATGTATATTCTGTATGTTAATAATACATATAATAATATATATAAATATTTGTGTTTTTGATAATGTGGTTGAAGAAAAGTCCTATTATCCTTAGCATGTGCACTAAAACTCAAGCCTGAGCTCAGCGTTCTTGTGGCGCCATCTTTCGCACATTCTGCGCTGCTATTTCCCTTTTGCTTCTTCACCCTCCCTCCACCTTACTTGAACACCCAGCGTGCTGCTCTCCACGGAGCCTGGTCTCACACAGGCAATCAGAGGCGCCTTCCCACACACCCTAGCGGTCGGGCATGAATGGCAGGCCGAGGTTAAGGGTGAGCACTCACAATGGTCAACCCTGGTAACTCACTGGGCGCCATCTCTCCCTGGGTGCCCACGAGCTGGCCCTGCCTGCCCTCTTCCTCCTTCCTCTCTGTGGATATGCACGATCCTGCATCTGCATGCCCAGCCTGGCACCTTCACATGTTTCCATGGCATCCACTTACGTCGTTTTTCTTTCTCACACTGAAAATTCATTCCAACCTCTACTGGGCATATTTTGTTCATTTCAGTGGTGGTCAAAACAACAGAGACAACTGACAATTCTAATGAGCTGTATTATTGCTCTTATACTCCGCTGCAGTTATAAGTGAACAGTTTCAAAGAAATAAACATGAAGCTAAAGATCTAAACAAAACAAAACAAAAATCACCTTTTCTCGAGGTGCACAGTATATGGCTTCTTGTTGATTGGAATAACATAGGATATCTGTTCCTAGAGAATCCGGAAAAATTAAGTGAGGACAGATTTCAAGGAGAAGCAAATAGCAACCCAAAAATCAACCAACCCTGCCAAGCATATTTCGGACAATTCCTTAAATCATCTCACGCTGCCTGTGTTAAAAAATATTTAAAATGTTTAACTTTTTGTATAACCTGTTCATTGTTTCCAAATTTCATTCTTTTATTTTTATATATAAATTTATTTTTTATAATTTATTCCCTTTATATCCCAATTGTATCCCCTTCCCTCATCTCCTCCCAGTCCCACTCTCCCTCCCTTTTTCCCCCATCCTCTTCCCCTAGTCCACAGAGAAGAGGAGACCTCCCCTCCTGCCATCTGACCCCAGCCTATCAACTCTCATCAGGACTGCCTACATCTTCTTCCTCTGTGGTCTAACAAGGCCACCCCCTCTCTCCAAAGGAAGTGATCAAAAAGCAGGCAACCGAGTCCATATCACAGACAGCCCCTGCTTCGCTTACTAAGAAACCCACTTGGAGATGGTTGGCTACATCTGAGCAGGGGGTCTAGGTCCTCTCCACGCCCCATTCATCGCCACTCTTGATTTACATGAGATTAGAACTCTCCGTATCACTAACCCTTAACAACCTATGAGAGCTCCCTGCCGTCTAGAGTCTCTTCCTGGCAGCATGAAGGTGGGCAGCCCCATCTGTTCCCTGTTCTTGGATGAATTTGTAAAGCAGGTCTGAAAACACAAAATAAGGGGCTGGAGATATGGACTCAGCCCCAGTCTGACCTCTGCGGGCACCAGGCATGCATTTGGTACACAGACTTATGTGCAGGCAAACACCCTGACACATAAAAAAAATAAATAAATAAAAGATGAAGCTGAAAGACTTTCTTGAAACTTAACAGATTATAATGGCATAAACCAGAAAGCGACAGCAGGAGAAAATTCAGGAACTACAGAAACAAATGGAGGTTAAATAATAGAATTCAAAATAGCCCACGGGTTATTGAAGCAATTAAGAAAGGGATTTCAAAATCCTAGAATGAAAATACAATCTATAAAATTTACAGCATACAGCCACAGTGGCTCTTAGTTCCTCTTCTACTGCTGTGAAGACACCATGACAAAAGCAACTCTAGAAGAAAGCGTTGATTGGAGCTTACAGTTTCAGAGGGTGAATCCGTGACTGTCTTGGCAGGGAGGCAGCTCTGCAGCATTAGCATAGCCCTGAGAGCCTACACCCTGAGACAAGCAACCACAAGAGAACTGACTAGCAGTGGAATGGGCTTTTGAAAGCTCCAAGCCCGTCCCCAGTGACACACTCCTCCAACAAGGCCACACCTCCTAATCTTTCCCAAACTGCTCCACCAACTGGGGGCCCGTAGTATGAAATGCTTTATGTGTCTGGCCTTATGCCCTTCAGTATCAGTTGGTTCTTGGACTTCAGGGAAGGGTATTAAAGGCCAGCAGAGGCTGAGAGCTGAGAGAGGGTAGGAGGAAGATAGTAGTGGGACTGGGAAGTAGGCAGGAATAGGGTCCAGTAGACAGAAGAGTAGGGCCAGAGAAGACAGTTTATGCAAGAAGAAAGAAGACTGAGTAGGGCTAGAAGGAAGAAGAAAAGGGATTCAGCACAATGAAAATAAGAGACGTTTGAAGTCAGTTGGGCTAGCAGAGTGAGAAGGGAAGAGAGATGGTGACAGTTGAGCCAGGAGAAGCTGAGCTGAGCCAGAGAAGATATTAGGAGACAGTTAGGAGAAGAACCCACAAAGCAGCTAAAGAAATAATAGACTAAAAGCTACAGGGACCAAGTTCAGCTCTTAGCACAAGGTATAGTCTTGGCCACTTCTGGAACACAGCTTCTGTGTGCGTGTGGACTCTGAGGAAACACTTCCCAGAAGACTTTACCCCAGGGATGCTGGAACCTTTCTTAGTTGACTCTAATTTCTTAGCTCCAGCTGACCAGGAGCTGTTGTCCCAGTAAAACAAAGGTTTTACTTTATTGGTTCTGGTCTCTTGTTAATCACAGGCCGATTCTTCAGTCCCAGTTAACCAGAACCACAGATTCCTAACACAGAATACATATCATCTCCCAAGACAGTCTGTAAGTGACTCTCAAACATTCCTCTGGAACTCCATAAGCCAGCCTTCCATCCCTGCATCTCTCTCCAAGCTCCCACAGAGCAGCTCACTGAGGTTTGAACACTCAATGGTTTTTCTAGCCCAAAGTTCCAAAGTTCTTCCATAATCCTTCCAAAAGCATGGTCAAGCCTGTCATGGCAATGCCCCCACTACCCTGGTACCAATTTCTGTCTTACTTAGGTTTAATATTGCTATGGTAAAATACCATGACCAAAAGCAAACTGGTGAGGAAAGGGTTTATTTGGCTTATACTTCTATCGCATAGTTCATCATTGAAAGAGGTCAGGACAGGAACCCAAGTACGACTGAAACCTGGAGGCAGGAACTGAGGCAGAGGCCATGGAAGGATGCTGCTTACTGGCTTGCTCCTCATGGCTTGCTCAGCCTGCTTCCTTATAGGACCACCAGCCCAGGGATGGCACCACCCACAGTGGGCTGGGCCCTCCCATATCAATCACTAAGAAAATGCCCTACAGCAAAACTTCTCAACCTGTGAGTCAAGACCCCTTCAGGAGTCACATATCAGATATTCACACCCCATCTTCCCCACACAGTGGTTCTCAACCTTCTTAATGCTTCAGCCCTTTAATACAGTTCCTCGTGTTGTGGTGACCCCCCCCCAAACCATAACATTATTTTCACTGCTACTTCATATCTGTAATTTTGCTACCATTATGAATCGTAATGTAAATTCCCATGGTCTTAGGTGAACCCTTTGAAAAGGTTGTTCGACCCTCAAAGGAGTCGTTACCCACAGGTTGGGAACTGGCCCAGAGTGTCAAGCTAACAACTGACTAAGACAGTACCGCATATCACATGCCCTAAAAAGTTGCATTTGCCTCTCCTGTGGCCTAAATGGTAAACACTCCAAAGCAGATAACTAGTGCTGAGCAGCTTCCATGGGAGTGTTTGCAGGCCGGGATCCTCAGCAGGACAGCACAGTCAAGCTCCAGGGCCTCTCCTTCCGCCTTCTGTTCTCCTGCGACTCTGGCTTTGCACACACGCACCTGTGTGATCTCTTCCTCCTCTTAGAAGCTGTGGTGGTTAGAGCTTGAAAGGGGCTATTATTATTGTTTCTGTTTGGTTGTTGTTGTCTCTGTCAGCTTGATACAAACTAGAGCCATCTGGGAGGGTGGGTACCTCCTCAATTGAGAACCTGTCTTCAGCAGATTAACCAGCCAGCAAACCAAATCTGTGAGGCATTTTCCTGATCAGTGATTAACTGTGGGAGGGCCCAGGCCACTGTGGGCAGTGCCAGCCCCAGCCAGGTGCTCTTGGTTTGTGCCGAAAAGCAGGCTGACGTCTTTAATCCCAGCCCTCAGGAGGCAGAGACAATGAGTTGCTGTAAGTTGATGTCAGCAAGGTCTAGGCCAGCCAGAGCTATGTAGTGAAACCCTGTCTTAAACAAAATCAGGAAGCAAAACGAAGCAGGCTGACCGAACCATGAAGGGCAAGCCAGAAAGCAGCATCACGTGGGAAACTGGAATGCCCGTGTATGATGAGTGTGAAACAGAAATCAGTGTGGTCACAGACACTGTGGAAAACTACATGGTAGCCTCTAAGTGCATCAAGCACAAGGTTATCTGCTTCACTGCTAAGGGTATAATAGATAACCAATATAGATAATATAATAGATAACCAAAAGGAAGGAAAAATCTTTCATAACAGCCAATGTCTAAAAGCAATCCAAATGTCTATGGTGATTAATGGAAAAACAAATATGGTACTTCACATTTATTATTTTATTTTAATGATCTGATAACTGTTACAAACATAAATCTAATTAAAATAAGCGTGCTCATCAATGGTTGCCAAGGTCCAAGGATGGAAAGAGAGGTAGGCCACAGCTGGGCAGAGGGAACTACTTAGGACCAGAGGAACATCATCCAAGTAGACTCTGCCATGTTTGCAAGCTGCGTATTCACCGTCAAGGTGACCGTTACCACGGATGGATTCTGCAGCATGAGAATTGTGAACGTCAGTGTGATCTAGATCATTTATCTCCTAGGAAAGTGGGAGGGGACTATTAGGGAGAAGAAGTAAATACTGGGAGGGGGAAGAAATGCACAGCTTTGTGCAATCAATTTACGCTGATTAAAAAAAAAATGTTTCAAAAGATGGTCGCATGCTGGAGAGATGGCTCAGCTGGGGAAACACTTGCCCTGCAAGCATGGAGACTGGGCTTTGATGCCCAGAGCACACATTTCAAAAAGACAGTTGGGATTGGCACGTGCTTACAATCCCCGATGCTGGAAGAGCGAAGACAGATTTGCTGGGGCCCACTGGGCAGCTCCAGGTCAGTGGGGGATCCTGTCTGACCAAACAAGGTAAACCGCTCCCGAGGAATGATGCCAGAAACCAACGTCTGGAGTCCAAGCAAACACACACCTGAGCTGCACGCATGCGCGTGAGCAGCGGCACACACGTGTGCCCATGCAATGCACGCTCACACACAGAGAGATTTCTCGCCTATAAGGCAGATACACTTAAATGTTTTTAAGACTCCTACAGACACCTAACACAGCAAAACACCAACTCCAAAAATCAGTGAACAAAATGAGTTCTTTTGCTTTCTATAACATTAGCATAAAAATTCTCTTTGTTTGAGAACTATGGGTACAGAGATGAAGCATAAGGAAAGAGGTTTTTGTTAAAAGGTATTAAGGAAATCAACCATTTTGGAGACTGTTAGGCATCTCCTGGATCTTCAGGCATCTCCTTAATGTCAAGGGAGATACTTAATTTTTTTTCTATTATTTTGTGTATGTGAACTGCTAAAAATAAGAATTGAGAAATGTTTTTCTTAAGTAGATCATCCTAATTTTTATGTTTGCTTTTCCCATAAAAACTTCACACTCATCATCAGTAGTAATATCAGATTCATATAATACTACGATATGATCTGTGTGTTCCACAGCTATGTGATACAAGTAAGAAATTTTATATAATAATGTATATGGTGAAAAAAACGTTTCTTACTTCTGAGCTTGTTCTATCTTTAATCTTCTCTGGAAATATGATTTGTAGAAATGAACTTGGAGAATCTGAAAAGAGAGAGAGAAAAAAAACTATTAGTAACCTTCCCTAGATGTTCAGTTTCTTTCATGAGGTTTATGTAGCCAATACGAATGATTCATCAACGTGTGCTATTTTGAAAATTCTAATGCTCACTGCACGAGTACATGTCCCAAGGCTGGAATCAGCCAGAGAAAATTAGCACGGCCCCATGACACATTAATTCATGAAGTGTTCCATATTTAAAACAGAACACAAAAACATTGAAAACACTGACTTTGGGAAACAGACAAAATGGTCCTGAAAGACCAAAGGAGACACTCAACATACTCAGAACCTGTTATTCACAAGAACACATAGACAAAAACAAACCAATCAAGGGTAAACTTCAAGAAAACCTGGCTAAAAATCTAAAGCAACAGACTAGAAAGGGCATAGCCTGTCGGGAATAATGGATAGCAATGAATCAAAGGTAAGCTGTGGTCCAATGACATAGCTGAGTGTTTAAAATCAAGCATCAAGTGGAAATACAGGTAGAAAAAAACATCTTATATCATTGTGGTTAGTTATTGTCAACTTGACACAGGCTAGAGAGAAGTGCAGTGAGAAAATGGCTCCCTAAGATTTACCTGTAGGCAAGCCTGTGGGCCATTTTCCTGATTAACCACTGACTATGGTATCACCCAGGCCCACTTCTGGGAAACTGGTGTTGAGTTGCAACAAAAGCAGGCTGAATGAGCTGAGAGAGCACCCCGGTAAGCAGCTTTCCTCCATAGCCTCTGCTTCCGTTCCTGCTTCCGTGTTCTTGCCGTGGGTACCTGCCTAAGCTTCCTCAGCGATGGACTGAGACAGAGCTGTAAGATGAAATAAACCTTTTCCTCCCCGTGTTGCTTTGGGTCATGGATGGAGTTTATCACGGCTCTGGAAGGCAAACTATGACAGACGTAAAGGGAGAAATGCAGCCTGGCTCTGGTATTCAATAGTAAAACACTCTATTTAAATGATTGAATTGAGGACCCAAGAAATTTATGCTAAACAACACTGTCATTTAACTACCCAAGGAGAGGTGGCTATTTATGAACAAATTTCCCCCCCCCCAAAAAAAATTAATCTTCATGCACTTGGCAGAAAGACAGAAAAATTTCTCCCAATAACTCTCTCTATATAGTACTAAACATAGACCAGACATGAACATTAAATAAACTCACATACAGAGTGAAGGCTGCAACTGTGGGGACCATAGCCACATGGTGGACAGATAACACTATGCCTATGCCCGCTGTCAGGAAATGTGGCACAGGAAGAAGGATGTGGGAGCATCCCCATTTTCTTCAATTTACTGTAGATTAAGGTCAAGCGTGTGAGTTGAGGGTACAGAAAGGCTAAAATTAAAATGACACAACCACCAACTGTTAGGACTGTGCAGCAAAGTTACACGGTGGGTTCACACATCATGCCCTGTGACTGCTTCCATGCGGGAGGTTTATTAAGGGAAGGGTACATAAGGGAAGGGGGAAGGGGTCTCAGAGACCGTCTCTGAGCAGGGCAAGAGAGAGAGAGAGAGATTGGAGGTAGAGTTCTCTTATAAGGTGACTCCGAGCATGCTCAGGTGGTTTCAGGTGGTCCGTAGGTGGCTTCACAGTTGCCTGATATCTGGTTTGTCAGGTCCCTTGGGGCTGGCCGTAGAGATGCCTGCTTACAGATCCCAACACCAACCTCTCCACGCAGCCAGATCCTGCCCACACTTCACCAGGGTGAGTCTGGGTGAACACATCTAATTCTCTCGCCCGCACGCCCTTCTCAATCACCCAGATATAGGCAAGGCTCCATATCCTGTGCCCTGGCCTAGTATGGCCACTCCTGCTTGCATGTCCCCCAATGCCCAGGCTCCATCCAGGATACGCTCTGCCTACCTCCAACCTTCAGGCCCCTTGTGCCATATTACAGCTTTTCTGCTCAGCTAGATCCTGCACATCTCATAAACATACCATGCTCTAGTCCAGAGTGTCTTGTCTGATCCTCCACACCACACACCTTCTCCAAGTGTCCAGACCTACCTCCAAGCTCCAGGCTTGGACCAGAAGGTACATCCTTCATGCCCACCCAGCACCCTGTGCCCGCCTGACTTATTCCATCTGAGCCATTTCTGCGTTTGGCCCTAACCTGCTCTGTCCATATCAAAAAAGGAACTAACAAAAGCAATACACATGACCAGATCTCGTTGCAAAAAAAACACGAACAGTATGAAAAACCAAGGCAGTATCTAGATCAACCCCAAGGCACGGAATGTGAAACAGTAAATATACACTACAGGCAAGTGAATGGAAAACGGGAGATGAACAACAAGCCACATATAAAGGAACGAACACCCCGCAAAGATGACAGTTGCTTTCTCAGCGGAAGAGCCTGGAGCAGTGCATCACACTACGAATCCAAAACAAACCAATGAACAACAACAAAAACTATAACAGCCAACACCCTTTGGTCCTCCAGAAGCAATCAGCATTGGCCAGACCTCACGTCAGACTTCTGGGCTCCAGAGCAATGAGAGGATACATTTCTGTCTTATTAAACCACCAGTCTGTGGCAACTCTTCATGGAAGGCACAGGAAAGTAATTTTATACTTATTTTATGAATGTATTTCTTTTATGAATGTTTTTAGCTCACTTCTGGGTTCCAGAAGAGGCTAGAATTCTGCTGTGTAACTGGCAACCGAGACCTCTGCACGCTACTATAGCCAACTACTCCCAGCAAGCCTCATAAACCCACAGGACTCAGACTAAAACCTCAGCTACTGTCACCTTACAAACCCATTTATGCTTGGTCCCCCCAAAGATGAGAGAATAAGGAAATCCTCCCAGTAACAAAAATTTCACTCCGTAAATGAATTTGTATGGCTCTCCTGTATAGTATGAGGCAGACACTTGTTTTGTGTGCTGTTTCTTGAAAGCTTCAGGATGATAAGAAGGGTAAATGTGGACACGGATGCCCACACAGCCCAACGAGAGATAGATCGTGGCATGCGACCGGCCTTTCGCTCTCATAGTTTCCACCACGCTTCCTTGCAGCTCAAATGACTCGTGCTCCTGACTAGTTCAGTAAGAAGCTGGGACATTCACACAGGACTTCGCTGCGGAAGTGTTATGTAGGTATGGTTGTGTTTTAACCCCAGGTGTGGGCTATGGGGCGGCTTAAGCTTGTCCACAGCTGTTGTGTATGGTTACACATGGTTGTCTTGTGCTCCGGCAAGGGCGTGATTTTTACCAGCTGCAGATCGTCTAAGTCCGGGGGCTCTGGAGAGGGAATAAGTGGGAGGGCCTGGGATGCTTGGCTAGAGGAGGGGAGACAGCATGATGGGGAGTCTACAAACATGTGATTCTAGCAACCTTCAAGAACACGGACTCGCTGGGTAGTGGTGCCCACATTCACTCACTTAGAGGACAAGACATTCACCTACGCCGCTCCAAGATTTGCTCTATGAAAGGGGAATACCTTGGTAACTGAACTAGAGACCCTGAGAGGTCACCAGGCATCTAGAATCTAACTTTTTCTATACTTTCAAGTAATCTGTGTTGACTTTCCAGAGTCTGAATTTAAATTAAAAAAAAAAAAAAAAAAAAGGTACAAAGACTAAAAACTTTGGAGTCAGTACAACAGCCCGGGACAAATCTGAGAAGTCATGTGGTAGAGAGACCTTGTAAAAGCAGAGAGAATAGTCGGCATAAAGAAACACTCTACAAGATTCCAGGGTCCAATCAAAAGCAAGAAGACCTCAGGGGTAAAGGAAAGGGATGCAGAGTACGTACAAAAGCCTTCATCTGCCAGTCATCTCAACTAACCTATCAGATTACGGAGCACAAAACCATGAGTGTCAGGGATACAGAAAGAAGCCACATAAATGCACGATTCTGGAAAAGCCTTCCTCGTCTTGACTTTAAAACCACCGCAGCAAAATCCGCAGGGATGAAGGGAGCGTGGGGAAGTCTGCGTTGGCAACAGTCTGCTCTTGGTTCATTAAGGAGCTCACACCGAGAGGAATGTGAGGAATGTGAAAAGAATGATTTGCTTCAGAAAAATTTCAAAGACGTGAGATAATGCACGCTAAGGATGGATGACTGCAACATAAGGGAGGTGGGAGAAAGCCTCTTTAATCACACGCACTGAGAGAAACCCTATAAATATGAACAGTATGGGGATAGCTCCATTTCTCTCATGGGCTTTCAAAAACATAGTGGTACACAGGCAACTCAGGAAGATAAAGGCTGCGGGAAACCATCCAGTTTTCACCATTCCTCTTAAATTCATAAAAATGTTCAAGAGAGACTCTCCGTGAAAGCTGCTATATTATTATTATTATTATTATTATTATTATTATTATTATTATTATTATTATTATTGCACAACTTTTGGGGCACATGGGAGAACACACACTGAGGAGCCCTGTGTAAAGAGCAAACGACTGCTGTCACAGAACCTCTTGAATGTAAGCACAGACACTCTCCAGAGCGCCTGCACGAGTACAAACTCAGTCCGAAGGTGTGGCTGGAAAGCTGACAAGAACTGCAGGGCTGAACTCACTTGAAACTGAGAGCAAAAGTAATTTCTTCTTCCCATAAGAAGTTTCTGGACACTGTCGCAGCGCAAGTAGCAGGCATGGGACGGTGTAGCTTCACTCATGTACAAAGCTAGAGGAAACCCACACGAGAAAAGCCTGGACAAGCTTTGGACCAATGCTGCTTTCCATTTGTGCTTTTAATTAACTATTCAAAATAATAAGTTTTATTACATTTTACATATGCATGCAACACACTTTGAAAATACTGGATTTTTTAATTTTCTTTAATTTCTGTTCACTTGTTTGTGTGTGTCTGTGTATACGTGTGAGGAGGGCGCGGCAGTTTGTTGTAGTCAGTTTCCTCCTTCCGCTTTTTGAGTCCCATCAACTCAGGTTGACACGAGTGACAGCAGGTATGCTTACCCAATGAGCCCCTGATGGAAGATTTCAGGATTCTATGTCCCTGCTTTGTAAATATATTCTCTAAGCAATGTGTGTCAGTACCACAAATACTATTTTTATTCCAATCAATTGAGAAAATATTTTTCCGTTTTAAAAGTAGAATCAATAGAACTGGAGGAAAATTTAAAAATACAAGAGCAAAATTAACATATAAGCAAAAGGACAGTTCTCTTGAATACAAATAAGTAACTAAATAGAGCTTTACCTAGAGTGATGCTATCGAGTTGAGAGTTTTTCCTGCGGTTCAAGCCTTCACACTTTAGGATCTGGAATGTCACCATTTAAAACCCTGAAGGGGCCCATACTTCTGGGCTTATTGCCTTCACTGTTAATCTGTTCCTGGCTGTTTCTGGAGGTGACTTTTTTCTTTGAGGGGTGACCAGTCATGGGCTGTCATGGAACCTGCTCACGCTCTGAGTGTCCTCACCCTGTAGGGTAGAGCCTGTTACACCGTTTCATACTGTTTGGGCAGAAACTGCTCGGCAACTTCCTAACACAGACCTTGGTTTTCCCAACAGGTATCACTTATCTGGTGACCTGCCAGCCATCACTCATTGTCCGACATTCAGGCCATGGGCTTGTATTTTAACTTTGTGATGGTAGCATACCACCACACCAGTCTGTTCAGGATAAGGAAACTGTGTTAACAGTAATAGGTAAACCCTGAATTTTGTGGGGCCTCAGAAAACAAGAATTTTCACTACGATTACGAATCGCGGGTAAATTGCCCAGAGAGGAATAGGAATCTTTCGCAAATAATCACACCTCGCTAAGTATGCTAAGTATGTGGCACCAAGCACAATAGGCCTGGCAGCAGCAAGGGGCTTTCTGGACATGAGCCCTCTGGGGCTTCTGTGAGCCCTGCTCCATAAGCTCCCTTGCTGACTGCAGTTCCTCTGGCCACCACCACGCATGCAGGTACGTGCACACCCATGAGGGTATGTGGAGGCCAGCGGGGATCTGATACCATTGCCTGTCCCTCTGCCTTCTCCCCTGAGACAGTCTCTGGCTGTAGCTGGGGCTCACTGTTTTCTGGCTAGGCTAGCCAGCGGGTCCCCAAAGTCTCCCTCTCTCAGAACCTTCTCCCTAGGCCCCACCCCAGCACTGGAACCACAGGTGCAGGCAGCCACATCTGTTTTTTTGTTTGTTTGTTTGTTTGTTTGTTTGTTTAACGTCAGTACTGGGGATCCGAACTCACACCCTCATGCTTACATGGCAAGCACTGTTACATACCCCGCCATCTCTCCAACCCCTTAGCAAGAATCTTCACAGAAGCCCATAAGAGAATTCTATAATGACTTCAAATAAAAATTTGAAAGAAATAAACAACGTAACTATAAAAAATGGCCATGCGGGGAAGAATTAATAAATAAATCAATATGGGAAGAAAGAACAGACAGGGAGAGGGACCCAGGAGAAGATAGAGAAGGACAGATCAAAAAGCCTTGAGTAGTTTTATATATTAGCACAATCAAAGAGTGTATCATTTCTCTGAAATAAAGACAGACACAAAGAGAGAAAGTCATATTTGTCTTACATGGCTAATATAATAGCCACAGACAGTCTAAGTAAAATATTAATAAACTAACTTTAATCAGTGTAACCTAATTGTTAAAGCATGACCAAGAAGAATTTACCCCAATAAGCCCTACAGCCATTATAAATGAGAAAAAAGAAATAGTCCTGCCATCCTCAGCACACAGAAGCAGTAAAAGCATAGGATTACAGACGCATGAAGAAAACGTGCATGGTTCAAAACTCTTCGCCGACGATAGCTTCCTGTGTTTGATTCTTCTAAACGACTAGGCAGTAACAAAACACTTGAGCAGGCACGATGGCTCAGCAGGTGCAGGTGCTTTCCATGCAAGTCTGGTGAGCTGAGTTCAATTCCCGGAACCCGTGTAAAGGTGCAAGGAGACAAGCGACTCCACAACTTGTCCTCTGACCTCCCTGCACGTGCCATGGCGCTCACACGCCAACCCCTTCACAGCAATAAGAGAATGCTTCAAGTAAGGCACAACAGACCTCTGCTCGGTGGACGCCCTCGCTCACATTACTGTTACAGCTAGGACTAGAGCAGCAATTCATGACCACCGTCCAGAACTGAGGGACAGGGACACGTATGTTATCATATGTGGATGATGGTATCATAATCTACAACAACAAAAGGATCAAAAACAGGACAATAGCGATGACACGTAAAATTAACACAGCAGCCACTTCACTAGTACCGGTACTGAACACTTTTTTAAGAGGGTCCCATTAATGAAAGTGACAGCAAACAAACACCGTGCAAGAACCAAGAATAAGAAAATGGAGAAATGCATAGAGAACCTATGGAATCTAGAAGACCACCGAACAAGAACAAACAATGTTCTTATACCTAAACTTTCCTTAATTAAAATTTTCAGGTGGGCTAAAATACAACCCAATACAATTCGTTCATAACCCCGAGGATTTTTAATGAAATGTGCTATATATGGTGTATAATCCATCTACCAAGTAGGATAAAGAAAATCATATTGACACATTACAGCAGAACAAGCCTGTAGATAGTGGCTGTGTGTGTGTCTGGTGTGTCCTCGGGCTGGGGAAGCAAGATTGGCAGATGTTTTGCCAGATATCTAATTACATAGGAGGAAGAATTTTAAGTGGCCTTCGTAACATGGGTTTCTATAATAAAGAGTAATATAGTATATTCTCTAAAACATTTTTTTAAAAAGGAATTGGAAAGGGATACAATAGAATAATAAAGAGCAAAAAAAATTCAAAGAGAATGAGAAGGGCATACACTGAAAAAAAACGTTCTTCAAAACACAGATCTGGGCTGGAGAGATGGCTCAGAAGTTAAGAGCGCTGTCTGCTCTTCCAGAGGTCCTGAGTTCAACTCCCAGCAACCACATGGTGGCTCACAACCATCTATAATGAGATCTGGTGCCCTCTTCTGGTGTGAAGTTGTATGTGTAGACAGAATATTATATACATAATAAATAAATCTTTAAAAAAAAAAAAAAAACACAGATCTGGGCTGAGGAGAAGGCTCGTGGATAAAAGAGCCATCCTGCAAGTATAAGGACCTGAGTTCAAATCTCCAGGACTGAACTAAAGCTGGGCATAGGAGGCCACATCTGTAACTCCCACGATCCTGTGGAGAGACTGGATGAGGAGATAGAATCCCCAGAAGTTGAAGGGCCAGCTAGCCTGGCTTATGCAGAATGAAAATCGAAAGAGCATCTATAAATAAAATGAAAGGAGAAACTGACATCTGAATTGGTTGTCCCCTGATCTCTGTACCATACATCCATAAACTCAAACAAACCTATACACACGCACAAGCACACACACACGTACACACCACATATACACACATAGAAAAAAGTTAAAAATAAAATATCGCAGTCTGATAAAAGAGCATTACCCAAAACATACAAAGAAATTTTCAAATTAATAGTGGCACACCAGCCACATTTTAAAATGGACAAATAACCTGTAAAGACAACTCTCAAAAAATAATAAATAAAAATAATGTAAGCCTATATAAAGATTTTTGGCAACTGAAGACATGGCTCAATGATAACAGCTAAACTCAAAGCCAGACACGATGATTTCAGAAGCATGCCATTGGGAACTTGCAAATTAAAACAATGAGACACCACTACGTCCTCTTACCATCAGGAATAAAAACGTGTTCAAGCAAAACCTGAACAAGCATGTAGACAGCGGCTGTCTTCACCACTGTTAAAGCTGGGAAGCCCTGAGAGGTCTTTCAGCAGCTAAGTGGACAGACTGTGCTTGACACAGACAATGAAATGGCTAATTTTTCAACGCTGTGAAGAAATAAGCTATCAAGGAATCTAAAGTACATGCTTCAAATGAAAATAAACCTGTCTGCGAGGCTACGTGGTGCATGATTTCAACTACACAACCTTCTGGAAAGGCGGGCAGTGGAAGGTGGTGGCTGTTTAGGGATGGAGAGAGCAGGGTTGTCTCAGGTCAGTGGGACTGAGCGTGATGCTGCAGCGACGGGCGTCTTAGTGCAAAGCATAGAACATCCAGAACCTGAGAGCAATCACGCCTATCCCTGCAATTCCAGGGGTTGACCCTTGTGGGAGGACAGAAAGCAGGCAGGGCCTAAATCCAAAAACCGTTTTCTGCACAGTCTTGTTGTGAATCTGAAACTGCCCTAAAAAGTAAAGTTCAATGATTTTTCTGAAAAAACAAAAAGTGTTTGAGGAGCTGGAGCGATGGGCCAGAGGTTAAAAGCACTAACTGTTCTTCCAGAGGAGCTGGGTTGAGTTCCCAGCACACAACTGTCTCTAACTCCAGTTCTAGAGAATCCTCTCTGGTTCACCCTCTTCTGACCCCAAAGGGCACCGTGTACACAGGTGGTACATAGACTTAGATGCAGGCAAAACACCCATACGCAAAGTAAAGTTTAAACTGAAAAAAAAAAATCTTTAAAAAGCTGTTGGTAATTTTTTTTTATTTCTCACAGTTTAAAAAGAATAAAGATAATACATTAAGATATGCATGCATAAAAATAAAATTTTAATATCAATATCCCATTGACTTTCATAAAGAAATTTCTGCTGGTACCTACATATATAGATATTTAATATATGATAAATAAAGTGGCAAGGGAGTTGGGGGGGGTGGACAGATTAGAGGGAGGAAAGGGAAGGGAGGTAATTGTCTTAATTTAAAAATTAAAAAGAACAGGAAAGCTTGCTGGTGTTTTTAGATTCTATACTGCAACTATTCTTTTTCTGTTTGTCCAGTTTTGGGGGTAACATGCAGAAAGCCTGTGATTATCTGAAAAGGCTACCAACGTTCTCCTTTTGAAGAGTGTTGACGTATGAAGGGTATGATCCTAATACTTTAAACGTTAGTATACGATCTTAAATTCCTCCTTCTAATATAATGAACCACGAAGAGAACAATCCCAGAACCTGCCCATGTGACCCCCTGCTCTACCTTTTAAAGGAGGCATTCCACAAGTTCAGGAGGACAATTCTCCAACTCCTCAGAGCTGGAGACGAGCGCTGGACTGACCCTGCTGGAGGGCTGGACTCACAGCAGCTGAACATCACAACCCGCCAGCTTGCTGTGGTGCCCACTAGATTCCAAAACCGAAGCAAGGTCCCGCCCTTCCCAGCCCCCACATGCACCTCTGCACTTGCTCTGAGTTTGGGGGTTTGTAGCTTATTGGCTTTTCTTTCGTGTTTCTGGACGAATCAGTATTGCATGAACGTCACGTTGGAGCAATTATCTGTGGACGCCTTAAGTGGGGTTCCAGAAGCTGATGGGAGAGCTCTTTGGGGGACACTTTTTGAGCTGTCTGATGTGCACGAGAGACGTACAAGAAGAGTGGCCCCAACCTCAGAGAAGCGGCCCCAGGGAGTGCTCACCGGATCCTGATGCCAGCAAGCCCCCCAGCTCGGCCAGCAGCAGCGGCAGCAGCGGGTGCAACATGGCGCCTCCTGGAACACCTTAGGCAGTTGCAAAGCCGTTTTTCCCGGGAGCGTGGGCACGTGCTGGAGCGCACCCACCCGTACCCCGCCTCCGTCGGCCACCACCTCGCCCAGCTCGCACGCTGTCCCGGGCCGCGGCAAAGCCCGCACGGGCAGGGTGGGCCCCACTCTACGGGCCACACGAGGGGTCAAAAGAGAGCGTACACCTATGTGCTCCTTCTACAGTGACTTTCTTACTCCAAGCCTGCACCTCCACAGGCGCTGCTCCTGTGGCCTCGCCCGCCCGCCTTCTTCCTACCCGATTCTCCGCTTTGGCTCAAATTCACCTAACTTCCTTTTCAGACGTGCGACTAATTTTTGCAGCCCTGGCAGATGCCAGACGTTGTACAGCCCCTACATTTCGGCCCTTGCCCTAGCTAAACCTCCCGCGCGGCAGTCACGTGCGTCTACCACGCGGTAGTCAGGCCCGGTCAACTACTTCGGCCCTCCTCAATGCTCCTGCGGACTCACAGCCCTCAACACTGCCTTCGTCCTCCCGATGGCTGGCGCACCAGTGTTAGCACATACCCCACCCTTCCAGTACTCAAGCCTCCTGAGATACTTCAGTGTCCTGAGATACCTTCTAATGTTTTCCTGACGTACAGCCACTAGGCACATTTCGCAGAAGTCCTAAGACTGACATAAATAAGGATCCGAATACTGGTGTGTATTTAGAAAGTAAAAGGACGACCAAACAGGAATTTCAAGTATTTTATTTGTTGTAAATGTTTTTATTTTAATATGTATATATACACAAACCAAAATATTATTTTAAAAAACTAATGAAATTCAGTTAATATACCTATTATTAAACTTCTTTATGAAAGATTATGAAAAAATTTAAGTGTTTAAAATTTTAGTGTCAATATCATTCCTTTCAAAGTACAAATTCATTTTAATACAGCTGAGATAGCAACTCAGAGGCCATAACTTCTGTAGTTATCTAAGGAAACCATTTCTTCCTTCCTTTCTCCAGCCTAATTTTTATGAAAATATTAGTCAAAAGAGACACGATCCAGCACACCATAGTAAATGTAAACATTCTAAATGACTTAATATCAAGCCTTGAAATTCAGAGTTTAGAGTTAAAGTGCTCATGAATTCTCAGGTGGTTTTGTAACAGCTCACCTGCGGGAGGTATTCTCCGCGCTCCTGCTCCTTCAACAGCTTTCTGAGTAGGTGGACTACACACCCGTACCATAAACTGTGCAACACTACTGCACGGCTTTCCCATGATGCATAGAGAAAACTTAGTATTAAATCAGCTTCTACCATAGTCATCAAAATTTAGTATTAAATATGGTAGTATGACTTCTACCATAGTCATAGTCATTATAGTTGAAAATCATAAAAAAAAATGGAAGCCAATAGTTGATTGTGTTAAATCAAGTTCTATCATAGCTACTACTGTTGAAAGATCATAAAAAAATGGAAGCCAATAACTGAATACACACCTTATTTCATACTTTGAGATTATACCATGATCTAGAAATTGTGGTTCTGGTGTGTTCTTCGTCGGGATATCTGCTTATTTGTGTAGTGGGAAGGAGACAGGAGTCTGTATTAAATGGCTGTTAACCCATGCAAGATGATAATGCAGAGGTTATTGGCAGTTAGTTTTCCTAAGTTAATACAAGTTCAAATGCTCAACCAGAAACTATTAATGATAACTGAGGTCAAAAAGTCAGGATTACATTTAAGCACATAATGACAAACCTTAAACCAATTTAGCTAATTTGAGAATCATTACAGTAACATGTTCAAAATAACTTAATCCACGTTAAGGGCATTGAAGTCACGAATGGCCGAAGACGACACTTCCCTGGTAGAAATGTTAACCTGAAATCCCTGGAGGGGCTGCAGCCTCCTGTGTTTCTCAACTCCCCACTCGGCTTCTGTGTTAATAGGGCTTGTGATGTGGTAGTTTGTGTTCATTCAGAGTTGGAAGAGAAAGGCTTTTCAAGAAAACACCAGAAACAAAAACAGAAAGCATTCACTCAGTTCCCTGAAGACATTTTAAAAATAAGACTCTGGCATCAGGTGAGGGAGCTGTATAAAGGAGGTGCAGGAGCCGGCCGCGCAGGAATCAGGCTTCCCTGAGAGGATGGTTTCGGCTGGGGTGGAGGTGGCCTGTGAGGGGGAGAGAGTCAGTTAGCGGAGTGTGTGGATGGATGAAACAGGGCTGGCTCCATGGCAAGCGCAACACGACACCACCCTCAACCGCTCTGGCAGCAGACAAGGAAGAGCACTTTCTACTGTGCTCTCAGACTATTGTCCATATGGTATTCAGTGCCTAAAGGACCCGGCTAGTCTAAAATGGGGAATCATGACCTTTCAATTTGCGGGTGTGCTTGCATATGGGTGTCTGCACACATCAAGACCAGAGGTCAAAGTCAGGTGTCTTCAGCTGCTCCCACCCTTATTTTTGACTCTAACTCTCACTAAGTATTTCTACAAACTGTGCTTGCTCCAAACTTGTTCCAAGTTAAATTACCTAAATACCTTGCCCTAAGCCAACATTGGATAGAAAATTCTAATGCATTGGCTCCTGAATTTTAATATGATCAAATCATCTAAGCCCATTTCCTTCCAACCTTGATGGAAACTGTGGAGGCTGCTTGGCTGCGTAGGTTGGTACTGGAAATCTGTTTGCATGCACAGGCTGAAAAAAAAGAAAATGCATAGTTACTGCTACAGTGTAGTCACAAATATATCTTAAGTATAAGGTTCTTCTATATAAAAGTACTTAATATACTTATAAGGCTACCTACAATGCTGACATTCTAAACTGTTAAATGAGCCAGGGTGAGGCTAAACAGCAGATGCCTTTCTAGCATGTATAAAGCTCCAAGTTTGATCCAGGAGAGTAAATTGAAAAGAAAAATGTTCCTGTCCAACTCATCTTTACTACTAAATATTATACCTCCTTATTTAAAGGCTATATTTTTAATTCAATGATACTAAGCTATAATAACATTGCATTAAATTAAATAATGCCAATAAATTTTAAATAAAATACTCTGAAATTTTATTAGCAAGTCTACTTGTGAATACCAATAACCTATTACCCTTAATATTAGAATTCATAATACTCTTCCTTGACAAAGGAGTTGGAACAGCAAATACTAACTGATCTGCAACAGAGAGACAGAAAAACAAGACCAATGTCCTATTTTCAATCATCTATAGATTATGCAGACAGAAAAATCAGCAAGGAAACACAAACCTAATAGATACACAAATAACATTCCATTACACAGAGGCAAAATACTCATTGTTCTCTAATGCACTGAGCATTCTCCAGGAGAGAGCATTTATTCAGTCACAAACCATCCTAAGAATACAAGAATATTAAAATCATGTCAAGTATCCCAACCACAATGATATGACTAAAATAAATAAGAGGAATTTAAGAAAACTTAATAATAATTAAACAGTATGTTTCTGAACAATCATTGCATCAAGAAATATATATATATATATACATACACACATATATATATACATATATATATATACATACACATATATATAAAACCACCTCTTTAGACAAAAATATAAATACAAAATTAGCAACACTTGTAGGATCCATCTGAGGCTGTATCAGAAGGATGTGCCATTTCAAAGGGAGAAAACTATCAAATAACTACCTACTGTAGTATTTTAAAACCTAGAAAAATAAGTATAAACTAACCATGAAAACTTTAAGGATAAAGTTGGTAGAAGGAAAGAAAGACCAAAGATGAGAATGGAAATATATGAAATAGAAAACATCTATGAAAATAAGAATTGAGGTTTTGAAAAGATAAAATTGAAATACTATTGCATGGATGTGATGGTTACTACTGACTTTCAGCTTGCTGGAATCTGGAATTACCGACGAGATGAGCCTCCGGCTGCCTGGGGGTTTATTTTGATGAATAGGAGTTGGGCCCACCATGATAGAGGGTGCACCATTCCTTGGGCTTGGCTGCTTCAAAAGAAGGAACGACTCTCATTGCTCTTTTCTCCTGATGTGGTGGAACGGAACCAGCTGTCTCAAGATCCAGCTGCCTTTGCTTGCCTAACTTAATGTTCTACCCAAAACTGTGAGCCAAAATAACCCTCCTTCCTTAAGTTGCTTTGTCAGGGCACTTTATCATAGCAAAAGGAAAAGTAGCTAATACACTAGACTACCAGGAAGAAAAGAGATGATGAATTCAGAATGAAAGAGGAGGCACTGGAATTCAAACTGCAGAAACACAGATCCTAAAGCCGCTAATATGAACAATTACAGGGCAACAAACTGAACAACTAGAAACATGAACACATTTTTAGAAACATACAACCTATCACAAGTGATTGGTGGAGAAATAAAAGAAAACCTAAACAGATGGTTCACAAGTAAGGAGATTCGGTTCAGCAAGAACTCACACAATTAAATGCTTATACAACCCAAGGCAACCTGCAAAGCCAATGCAAGCCCTGTCAAATTCCAGTGACATGGGTTAAGTAAGCCCACCCACCTGAAGCCAATGTGTGTGTGTGTGTGTGTGTGTGTGTGTGTGCGCGCGCGCGCACGTATGCGCATGCTACCACATATATGTGGAAGTCAGAGGGCATCCTTAGGTATCAGTCCTTGCGGTTCTTTTTTGGAAACAAAGTCTCTGCTATTCCTGCAGGGTACAGCAGGCTAGCTGGCCCAAACGCTTCTGTCTCCACTCCAATCTCACCTTGGGAGTACTAAGATTACAGCTCTGTGCTACAGTGTCCAGTCTTACATGGGATCTCGAGACACAAATTCAGGTCCCCAAATTTTTCAAGGCATACACTTTACCGAATGAACCATTTCTCTGGCTAAGTCAATGGCTTTTGTTTTGTTTTGTTTTTTAAGATTGTGTGTGTGTGTGTTTTGTCTGCATGTATGTAAACACCCCTGTGTATGCCTGGGGCCATATGAGGCCAGAAGGGGACAATGGATCCCCTAGGACTGGAATTAGGGATAACTGTAAGCTGCCATGAGGGTTCTGGGAAATGAGCTCCAGCCCTCTGAAGGAGCAGCCAGTGCTCTGCTGGGATGTCTGTCCAGCCCCTGGGACACCGGATTTTTTGGCAGGAATGCTAAGAAAACACTCTGGCAACACCGCAGTCTCCTCAATTCATGAACTACACTTACAGAGAAACCAACGTCCCCACAGAGTGAGCGAGCCACAGCACCACACTGTACACTTCAAATACCTACAAAAGGGGCCAGTGGCCCAGTGTGTAATCTCACATACTCGGGAGGTTGAAGTACGGGTGAAGTAGGGGACTTGGAAAACTTGATAAGGACCCTAGCTCAAAGAGTTAGGGTGAGTAAGATGACTCAGCGCTATCTCCAGCCTCCACAACTAGCTTCTTAAATAGCTATCATTCCTCTTTTAATTTTTTTTATATTTATGTATTTCACTTTATGACTATTTTGCATGCAGGAATGTGTGGCTATTGCATCCCCTGGAACTGGGTTATAGACAACTGTAAGCCACCATGTAAGTGCTAGGAATCGAACTTGGATCCTACACAAGAGCGACAAGTCCTCTCTCAAGACCCGAAGTATCATTTCCTTGCGGCACAAACATTCAAACCTCTTTCCTTTCGAGGTTCTTTTATTCTGGCTTATTTGGTTGGCCAGGGCTGCGTACTACTTAGATGTCTATTAACGAATGGATGAAGAGTATGTCTTGACCAAATGTGAAGCCCATAGGCCCATGTCTAGCTGGTAGCACTATTTGGGGACATGGTAAGAATCTTGCCAAATCACTGGAAGCAGAATCGTGGATTCATACCTTACTCTAGCCCTTTGCTGCTGCTTCTCTCCACTCAGAAACAATGGAAGCAAACAACCATGGACTGAAACCTGGGACCACAGGACAGAGATCAGTCTTTTCCCTGAACTTATTTTGCTGAGATATTTTGTCAGCGTAATGAGAGGAAACTAACACAAAGATGAAGAATATACCTTCATCAGACCATTATACAGCTTTAAAAAGAGGAGGCTCTTGCAAACACCACAAACCTGGTTGAATGCCAACTATGTTATGCTGAACAAAATAAGTCATTCACAAAAGGTCAAATACTGTGTGATCCCACTCATGTGAAATACACAGTCAAAAATCATAAAAGTGTAACAGTGAGTGGCAGGTGCCGAGCTGGTAGGGAAGGGCATCAGTGGCTGAGAGTGGCAGTGTCACGCAGCTGGAGAGCTGCTGCGCAACA